TATGACGCTATCGCGTAGAGCAGGGGTCGGCAACCCCTGGCACGCGTGCCAGCATTGGCACGCGGCACCGTAACCAGTGCCACACTAGGAATAAGTGGAATAAGTGTGCAAAATATTGAAATTGTATTTTCGGATCCTGAACGAGACCGCCGCCAGAGCGCATCTCCCCAGTGGCGATCTGCTCATCTCTCATCTAAATAATATGCTACAAAGGGGCGGACAGGCCATCTGTGTGTTGAACTTTCATGTCGGCTTCCAGACCGTAGTCGAGGAGGGCAGAAGCAACAAGCTTCAGGTTCAATAACCCACTTTAACTTAAATGACTGGAGAGAGGCGAGCTCTTCTTGTGAGGCCGTTGCATTTATTTAGCTGTTCTTCTGTTTCACAAAATACATCACAGACCTCTGTTTTTCTGCTGCCTCGTTTCACTTCCAGAAACATACACACGTTCCCTCACTGTCGCTCTACCATCCACAAACACACATGCACAAGCCACACCCCTCTCTCTCTCTCTTAAAGGGACAGCGATCTCATCTCACTCTGCATGACCCTAATATCATAACATGTGTGCTCTGGAGAATCACAGAACGGACGATCGTCCTTATTATTATGCCGTTTAAACCAATAAATGTGTTTGTTAAATTCGGCATCATGTAAGTTGCGCTGACAGGTCCACACACTGCTTCCAGCGAGGCTCCCCCGCCCTCCTGCTGATAGTTCACGAGCGTCAAGCTCCTCCAACCCCCCCCCCCCGTTGATAATTCTCGATCGTTGGCACCTATGGTTGGCACGCTGGTAAACATAAATTTTTTTAAATGGCACTTCATATCAAAAAGGTTGCCGACCCCTGGCGTAGAGCTACGTCGATCCTTGCGTAATGCGGAAGTGGGCGTGGTTAACTCTAAACTGGGTTGGAAAAACAATAGACGCGAAACGGGCTATACGAAAGAGAAAAGTAGCAGATACAACCCGTTTCGTTCCCGTGTAACCACCGCAGGGCCGGCTCTTGGCATAGGCAGTATAGGCGAATGCTAAGGGCGCATCAAACTATTGGGGGGGGGCGCCAAAAAAAAAAAAAATAAAGTTAGAAATGTTTTAAAAAATGATCGTATACTAACAGAACTATGCCTATATTGCGTACAGCGCGCATAAACTATGGCGCACCCCCCACCCCCCAAAATCAAGTTGAACTGTCCCGGCCCCAGTCAAAACCAGAGGTTTATGTGAAATAGTTCTTTTTTTGAAATAATGGTTTTAGTGTGCAATTATAGGTTTTAATTTTGTATTTGTGTTCATTTAAAATAAATCAAACTCCCAAAAAACGTATACAGCTTCTATTAACATTGGAATTTAAGCAGCCACGGGGGGGGGAGAGAGCTTTAGAGAGCTCTCTCCTGAAAGACTGAGCGGCTCTGATAACCTCAGCTCAGTGAGGTAAAGGCACACATATGATCATTATAGTTGTAAAAAAACAAGATATCGTATAGTATAAAATACTATATGACAGTAAAAAAAAGTTAACAACAATACATTTTAAAAGGGGAGTGATTTGTAAAACATCCATAAAGAAATAGAAAATCTGCTTACAGTTCTGTTTCGGGTGTTGAGAGATGTATCCATAGATCTCTTCGTGTTGCTCTCAAAGTGCACCAGATTGATGCTTTTAACTTCAATATAATTTTTTTTTTTTAAAAACATGCCCCCGGACCCCCCTAGAGGATGTTAGGTCCACCACCCACTTAAATCCTGTTCAAATGGATAGGATACTAAATACATTTACACACATCTTGTGTCCATACCTTTCTGTTTTGGTGGTCATGCCACAACCTTGCACGTGCATGCATGCACAGTCATAGTGAGTGTCTGCATTTTGGGGGGGGGGCACCAGCTAAAATCTTGCCTATGGGCAGCAAATTGGTCAGGGCCGGCCCTGAAACAGCGCCTGAGAGTGTGTGTTCTGATGTATTCTCAGGTGGAGCAAAAGGTCAGCAGCAGAGCAGGAGAGGAAGAAAAGCAACAACTCCACAAACGCAGAGCTGAAGCAATTAGTCAGTGGACCAAAGCTTTACTGAATAACTTTGTCAGTAGGCGTTTATTTTAATCGTGGACAGAGTAAGCCCTGCTTCCAATCTTTATGCTAAGCTTAGCTAACCAGCTGCTAGCAATACAACAGACATTCCGAAATGTACAACTATTATTATATAATCAACGCTTAAATAAATTGTTAACAAAAGTGCACACACACAAACACACACCAGAAGACACAAATATAGATTACTGAATGGCCCAGAGACCCAAAGTGTCTGGCCTTCATCTACAAAACGTCACTCAAGAGACAGACAAACCAGGAAGAGACAAAAAAGACTACAAGGACTCACGAGACTATGAAAAGAGGCAAAACAGCCACCAGGAGACACAAAAACACACAAAGAAATCCGCTTCAAAGAGAACAAAACAACTAAAGGGAGACACAATTATGACCACAAAAAGAGACAAAGCAGTTAAAGCGTCCAACACACTACACAAAGATGCAATACAACAAAGTGACACGAAACAACTAAAAAGAGACAAAAAAAACAACACGGAGAAGCAAAACCAACTACAAACAGACACAACACAACTGCAAGCAGTCACAAAACAAATACACACAACATACTACAGAGATGCTTTAAAACAACTACAAAGAGACACACAATTCCATCTATTACACATAAACACAAGACACTAAAAAGAGACAAAACACAGGGGAAAATATTGCTACAAAGAGACACAATGTGATGACACTTGGACAGAGTAGGACAAAAAAAAGACACAGGACAAGAACAAAAAGAAACTATATGTGTCCTGCTCCTATAGGAGAGTTGTTGGGGTCTCTTGCATGTCCGGTGGTCTTTTTTGTCATGGTCATGTGTGGACATGCTTGGAGGTTGTGTGGGGAAGTGTTAGCGAAGCATCTGAGGCGAACAGGGGGAGAACTTAGGTGCAGAGAGGAGGAAGTGAGGTATAGGCGAGGAGAAGGGAGAACATGAGGAGATGGAGAAAGCAGGAGTAGGCGTAAAATAAAGTAGGAAGTGAAGTTACAAAAATGAGGAGGATGAAGGATCCACGCAGAGCAGAGGAAGAGGAGGAGTGTGATGTATGGAGGCCAGGAGCGATGTGACAGCAGAACCATGATGTTTGCTATTGTATGGTTATGTTGCCTCTGTGTGTGTATGGTTGTGACAATGTGACAATCGCATGAAATGCTTCACCCACGGCTGGCCTTCACCTCCCACACACTGCCACTCAAAGTAAATGAGCAGAGGAGGGAGGGAGAGAGGGAGAAACAGTGGGATGACTGATTGGGTAAGAAAGAAGAAGAAAAGGCTCTACCTAGAATCACACACTTATTCTTCCCCACTTCATTTCCTCTCCCTCCGCTCTTCAGCTCAGCCTGCTCCTCGTTCTCCAGTTGAAGCTCTTGAGTAATTACTGCTACTTTCTTTCAATCCCCCCCACCTCTCTGCTGCCTCCTCACAGCTGATGTAAGTGCTGAAGGGCCCTTCATTAAGGAAGAAAGGAGTGTGGGGGAAAATATGTGAATGTGTGTGTGTGTGTGTGTGTGTGTGTGTGTGTGTGTGTGTGTGTGTGTGTGTGTGTGTGTGTGTGTGTGTGTGTGTGTGTGAAAAAAAAAACAGTCCCTGGCTGTCTACAGATGTCCTCTTATAATTGTAGTGTGTGTGTCCATTCCTGCGGGAAGACACACCTGTTGATTGGCCTTCCCTTCCTTCTCCGGGTGTAGAAGACGGATGGCGGCTCGCAGTTTACCGGTAAACACGGCGCCTCTCATCACCCGCGGCGGTAACGGGTCTCCACAGCAACGCCGTCACGCGCCAACCGGGAGCGAGCGGTGCGACAAACAAACTGGAGCTGCTCGAGGCTGCAGCCCACGACCGGTCCTCTTAAAGATCGTCTATTGAGATGATCCTCATGATCACTCTAGAAATACATTTACATACTTTTAACTTTTATTTTATGATATGTATAGCATTATTACACAAATATCTATTGATTTAATTGGGGGGTTTCAATTTCAGCTTCATGTTCACACACGTCAGAATTGTTGAAAATATTCACTTGATACTGAATTTGTGGTTTGACACAACTATTTTGATAATCACTTTCAAATTATATTTCCTCTTTTTGAAGCAGACAGGTTTTTATATGAGAATGGATCCAGGTTTTCTTATTTTTCTTATGCATATAATTACATTGTATGCCTATATGTCCTAAATTCCTTTATAGATAACATAACTACAGTATTAATGTATTAATTGAAAGGATAGGGCTGTTATGATAATTGGAAGTCATTTTATGACCACTTTATATCAAGGTTATGTGAATAATTATAGTAGAGGTCCATGCCTTAAATAATGTTACAGACCGGTAATAAAATTATCATTAGAAGCATCAAAAATAAAGTTTCTTGTTAAAAAAAAAAAATGCATTAGGCTACAAAAATAAACGATCAGATCTTATAATTGATATTGATAGCATACATAATGAATGTGTAATGCGATCAAAATAGAGCACGGACAACTAATTTTATATTGAGCAAATCAAATATTAAGTTAAATTGTGTTTGCAAATGGGACTCAGTTAACATAGCCAATATTATGCTAAGTGTAATACACTTTCCTTCAAGGCCACTTCTGGACTGAAAGGGAAAGTGATTCTTCCAAAAACAGACGATCTTTGGCAACAAGTGGGCGTTGAGTTCCTCACCCCCTCCCTCCCTCCGTGGGTCAGCGTGGGCGGCCCCGTGTGGCAGGAGGAGAGCGAAACACGACACCCCGACAGAGAAAGGGGGGGGGGTTGTTGAGAGAACACGAAGAAGTGAGTGAGTGAGTGGAAAAAGAAAAAGTGTGTGCCGGAGAAAGAGAGGGGCAGAGAAAGGAGAACAGAGTTGGCTTTGCTTTTTTAGTTGCTTTCAGAAGCGTCGTTGTTTGGACTGTCGGTAAGGATGGTGATGTGGAGGAGGAATCGACCATGCGACACGGTTGCAACAAACGGGATGAACATTTAGACTCTCCGCATTCCGCTGCTCCACACCGACCGACAACAGCACGGCTCCTACAAACTCAGCGCCATTCAGACCCGGGACACTGGATTTCCCCCCAGGCTCGGGGCAACTTTTCGCACAAGACTCCTTGTACTTCAACTTAAATACCCCGGCTAAAACTTTTTCAGCAAAAGTCAATGTGTCGAATTAGAACGCCGAGCCGCGTGTGAAGTTGGCGGTTAGTTCTCTGAAGTTGAAGCGAGCCCATAGTGAAGACAGGTACTCCTCTAACACTTGCGAGAACAACACCGGAGGAAGGAGTGGGGTTTCACTGCTAACTTCGCTAGCTAATTTAGCTAGCCGCTAGCCAAGTCTAAAGTTACGAGTCAACGGGGAAAGTGTCTGAAGCAACAAGCCGAAGACGACAACAAAGATGAAAACGTCGGCAGACCCTGGTAAGTTTAAAGGCCTACATAAGAAAACTTTATTTAGACTCTGCTTTTGTTCTTAACATGAAAACAACAGCGCCTGACTCCTGCAGCTAGCGGATAGCATGCTAACAAACTCCGCTCCACGGGGAAAGTGACTGAATTATGGCGCTAGGGTTGATCCATAAAAGCATCTTGTTGTCGTTTAATTAAAACTATAAAAGTAAATCATGTTTACTACCACGTCGTAGAACACATATAATTGATACATTCAACCATAAAGGCTATGTTAAACCTTTCCACGATATCTTGCTTTAAACTATGCTGAGCTATTTACAGTGAGTACAGTGAGGTTAACATAATTTCCCGGATAAGTAAGGAGTCAGGACCAAAGTGCACCAACCCTCAGTGCGATATTATTGCATTTGTGATTTTGTTGATGTTTTAGTCGAGACCACTACAATCCAGTGAAGAAAAAGCTTCACTTGTAACCAGCACCACATGTGTGTGTATAATGGGGACCCTTATTTATCACTGCATCCCATCATACAGTGAAGTGTAGTAATGGGACTGAATGATTGGATCGGGAATTCACCGCTGATACGTCTTTATTATCTGGGTTATCTGCGCTCTTGGATAACAGGCTGCCTCCATTGCTATTGTGTGGTACTCAAATTAAATCAGGGAATATAGTTTGTGCCTTTGTTTACGCTATTGTGTGTTTTGTATACTTCCTGTGAGGTTCTTTGTCTGTAAACCTGCTACGCATGCGATAATTGTATCCTGGTGGATGGTTTTACCAGCGTAGTAAAATGTTTTACTAAGCTGCTTCAGAAATTCAAAAATATATACTATTCAAAATTATTCTAATTTTTGTCAGCCGTTTTTAATGTGATTTGAAATTATTATGATTTTCTTTCCATATCTCGTGGATTCTCCTACAGTGTGTCTGTGCTCTTCAAGACAGTTTAGTCCAAAGTTGTGTATGGTAATCTTGGGAAAGAGATCCAATAAACATAATGGCTGTTTAAGAGGGGAATGCCACACCACAACACAACATCATAATTAGGAACTTGTGAGTCTCTGCACTGCTTCAGATAACTTTTCATATCACAATACAATTATGTTAAAACTCAAGCAGCTTTTTCACAGAGAGAACTTTGTAAGATCTTCTAAAGCCACATGGGTATGCAATAAAGTGCTTAAAATAAGCTTAAATTACAATTTTTATGATTTGAAGTTCCGTATGGGTTGCATAGCCCCAAAATACTCTATCATATATCACATCAAGCAAAACATTATTGGCAGGCAATTACTAATCAAACATCCATCATGTGCACCTAATACTAGAAAGAAGAATAATAATAATAATAAATGTTCCTAACTGTAGCAGTTTCATTGCATTTTTACAAATGAAAGTATTCTGCATATGCAAAATTAACTGTTCATATTCTGACCACCACTAAGCTTAAAGGTGTTCTAAGGGTTGTTGGGGTGTGTGCTAAATGAAAGTCAGCGTGCTGGTAAGTTCTCAGTAGTTCCTATTTTAGTTTTGTGACTTCCTTTTAATTTCTGGGGATTGAGAGAAAGTGAGCCACATCCTTTAATGGAACTGTCTAACATTTATAGTGACATCAGTGTGTGTGGTGTTCGCTATTAACTTTGACTATTTTTTACAAAAACTTCCCAAATTGGGAACAATAAAGTACTTTTTATCTTATCTTATAAGGTGTATAAGTAGGTCCATGCTAAGGTAAACCCTGTTCAGTAGCCACATCACATTATGCATTGAGCTACACAGACCCTTTGTCTGTCTTCCCTTCAGTGATTGAGCCTGTTGACTACTTTATGTATATATGGGTCAACCTCCACTCCACTATTCCTATCAGGAAGTCAGCAGTCTGGCCCCACCAGCTCCAATTTTCCACTTGTGTTACTCCTTATATCAACACAGCGCCACATGTGAGACGTCACAGCTGTAGACGGCCAGCGAGCCAGCACGCTTTGTTGCACTGTGTGAGTGTGTGTGGAGTGAAAGGAGCCATACATGAGCAATTAGCTGGTGTTAAGTCTGGTGAGGGCTGGGCTCCTGTTTATGACTGTGAGTATATGTATGTGTTTGTGAGTGTAAATGTGTGCAAGCCCATATGTCTGTCAATGTGTGGCTTTACCTGACATTGATGTGGTCACAATAAAGTGAGTGTTTGACCATTACCAACAAGACCAAATTGCTCTTGAGGAAGACCATTTGGCTGTGGGCAGTTGAGTCAGCCCATTATAATTACAGGAAGAACAAGTAGCCTTTATGCAGATTCAAATAGCTCTAATAACACTGGTTATAACAAAGCTAATGAACCACAGGCTCATTTTGACAGAAGAATGACGCTGTTCGTTTCCTTTGGGAAGAACTCTGTTGTGTTACTGTCTCAGTTTTATACTGAATTATGCTGTTGGCAGCAGCAAAGACGGCCCAATTACACTACAGGTTGAGGCCGAGCTGTTTGTCTCAGGGAGAGTTTGAGAGGAGGTGCTGGAGAGACATAAGTGTATACAGGGATGTGGCTGTGTGGTCTCTGCAATTCTGGACACCCTGTCTCCCTGGGCTTTAGTGGAGATTTGCTGTAGTGTCAGGTGGAGGCAATGGGTCAATTTTATTTAATAATGCAAAAATAAATAGTTTTCCACTATATTATCCCTAATTATAGTCATCAAAATATGCGTAAACTCTTAAAATGAATCACTGGAATCACTTAACCTTACATTTTTTGACACATCATTTTTATGAAATCAGAACTTCCAGATACAGTAATCATAAATCATATGGTCTCCCTTCATAAATGGAGGAAAAATCTAATAGTAACATAAGGTTTTTTTATTTATGATAATGCCTGTATTTCCTCAGTCAAGCATTTCTTTCCACATCGCTACAATGAAAGTGAGTGAGACAGCCTTTTCAATTCAATCAGCGATGATATTCAGAATGATAATGGAAGTTCAGCACGATTCGCTTTTTGTTAGTGTTTTATCCACAATAAAATGCTATAGTCCCATCCCCATAAGGCAAATAGATGATATATTGGTTTCATTTAGTTATTTCTGGCAAGAGCCTTTGTTTTCCTAAAAAAGGGTTCTTTTCATCTTAAAAATAAGAATACTTAAAATCGGATCTAATTGTTCCCAGTACCATTCAGGTACATGCCAGTGTTGCATTGCTTTCCAATAGACATTCATCAGGACACAATCCATTTAGGAGGGAAATATCTAAACCAAAAAGCCCCTAAATACCAGTGTTCCTCACAGGATGTACCCGTTTCCCTGGTTTTCCTGCCATTATGTAGTTACTGTGAGGGATCAGGTCAAAGCAAAAGGTTGACCTGATCACATTCCCGATTTCTACCGAGCCGAGTCCGTACATGCAGACCCTGGAAAACACAGCACAGTGACGTCAGCATTTCTCTGGCGTGTTGTCAAGTGGTGGCCCGGGTCAGGGTTGCTACGATCATCTCTCGACGTTACTGCAGGCCTTTTTCCTGGAAGTGTGTATGTACAGTGGCTTTGGTGACCCATACAAAGCAAGAGAATAGACAACAGGTTGCACGAGCCTGGGCATGCTGGCCAAACAAACACTGGGGCCTCTAACACAGGAAAGCATGGCAGTCACTCGGAAAGGTGAGTGTTGATGGACATCCATGCCTGCCTTTTTATTTTTACATTAGGTTATATAAGATCCAACTTGTGCAATGTTTTTTTAAATACCCATCCAATATTTTGTCTATCTTCAGGTACTTGGTAATGGTATACTAATATATTTTGTAAGTCATGTTAACCGATATGACAATCTGATTGCTATCAGTTTTGATTGTGTGAAACTCAACCATGAGGCTAGTTTATTCGACTGCATATTTCAGCTGGCCTAAGCGCCTGGCCTATGGGCACTGTGGTGGTTGTTTGGTAGCTGCACAGATATATCACGCATAATCCAGCTTCTTTTAGTGTGAACAAGTACTTTTCAAACATATGTAATGTTACACCACAGTAGTTACTTTTGTTAAGTGTGGTCATTTTTTTTTTTTTTTTTACAAGTCTTTTTATTTCATTATAGTGTACAGTAATCGATGCCATTTCATTTATATTGTAATTTCACAGTACCACAGTACACTCACTACACTCCCCCCTCCCTCCATCCGCACATGCCCACATGGACAAAACCTAAAAAAAAAGCGTGGTCATTTCTGATTTAGAAAACCTAAATAAAGTTTAGAGAAGAAGCTGCTGCTCCTATATTGTCTGCCACCATGCCAGACATTTATGTTGATATGGTATGTTCTGAATTCATGTTATTGTGGCGCCACATTGCTCTAAATTTGACCTGTAATTTGTAAGAATGATAAAAGTACACATTTTTAAAAGAAGGGCATACCACAAATAACTGTTTCTTACAGTTATTGATTTTCTGAAGCTATATTTTTCAGAAGAAGACACACCTGGAACCACTTTTTAGTGCACAGAATGTCCTCATCATCTTAAATGTCTCAGTCAGCCGTCCCGCTTGCTTTGGTGTCTGAGTGTTTATGATTGAGTGAATCTGTGTTGGCTCCGTGACCGTGGACCCCCAGCAGGGCAGATGAAAGCACAAAGCAGGTCAAGTGGAACCAACGACACACTTCACCGAGCAGATAAGCAAGGCTTCTGCAGCATTTAAGATATCTCTGAAACACCTGACAGGGTACAGGGTTTCCGGCTTCAGTAATGGTCGAACACACACTTACAAATCCATTTTGCATAAACTCTTCTTATGCCGTTTAATCAATATTACATCTAAAGGTTAAAGCTGTCTACCATTTGCCCATCAGACTCTTAGATTTGCAAGTAGGCCTTGAAAGCCATAGTTCGTCAAAAACTGCAGTTTTTAAGTGCCCTTGGAGCTCCCTGAAGGTTTTCGAATCAAACCAAGGCTGAGAGAGACAAAGTGAAAAGGTAGGTTTGTGCTTTGTCTGAGGCTGTTTTGGCTGAAGTCAGCCTAACCA